GCCGGGCGCAGCCGGGGGAGGGGGGGGGTCGTAGTCGCAGGCATCCGGAGGGGTGGGCAGTCGGAGAAGACGGTGGCGGGCAGTTGGAGAAGATGGCGGCGGGCCAGTCGGAGAGGAGCGACGGTGGTGTTCGCCGGATCTCCCGCCTCTTCTTCGGCCGGAGAAGAGAGAGAAGAAAAGAAAAAAAAACTGAAATCAAGAATGAAGAAAGAAGAAGAAGAAACCGAAAATGAAAACAAGAAAACGAAAACGGCTTTTTTCCGTTTTCAAAATTCCGGAAAACGACAAAGCCATTTTCGTTTTTGTTTTCTGATACAAATTTTGCAAACACGTTTTTTATCTCCGTTTTCAATTTTTTACATCGAAAAATGTGAGAAACGAAAATGGAAATGCTACCAAACAGACCCAATGTCTCTCTTTTTCTCTCTCTCTGCTCGAGAGAGGAGAAAACGAAAATAAAAAATGAAAAATGACTTTCATTTCTCTCTCATTTTACACTAAATCAAAAAATCATTTTCATTTCCGTTTTTTGTCTTTATTGCGCCAAACGCCGTTTTAGAAACGTTTTCATTTTTCTTTCTAAAAAAACGTGAAAAATAAAAACGGGATCAATTCCAAACACGGCCATATAGTCTCGTTCTTTTCATCGATTCAAATTTTTAATTCGAGCTGAGTTGTGACTTTATTTAAGAGTAAACAGTGTAGCAGAAAAAATTAGATATGTGTTCAAACAAAAAAGAAAAAAGTTATATATGTAATTTTTTATGAGAGAAATACTGTAATAAAAATTTGAGTTGTAGTTCAAATTGGCGAAATCAACAAGACCCCGATAATTATTTTTCTTCCTTTCATAACTACTAGGAGTAATGGATGAATATGTAATAATATTAAAAAAAGGCAAAAACATCAAACACTCGAGCTAGTAATTGTAAAATGACTGTTTGAGGTTGAAGTGTCGTTTGAACTTAATAAAAAATGAATTATTATTATTATTATTATTTATCACGAACTTGAAAGACTTCCCAACTCCGGCTCCGTCTTTTGATGTTGAAGAACAGTGTGTCGTTTGAGACCCGAAGAAGATATGTCATTAAGGCCCCGTTTATTTCGCTAATTCGAGTTTAGAATTCGAGTTTTGTTACAGTAAAAAGCTCTCACAAATAATCACATTTAACTTTTTTGCTACAGTAAAAAGCTCTCATATAAAATTACATCTCAACTCGAATTAAAAACTCGAATCAGCGAACTAAACGAGCCCTAAATATTTCAAAAGTAATCGTTGTTGGTTATAAACTACACGTCGTTTGTGTACTTTAGATAACTTGCCCTATCTTTTATTTTGCTATTATGTGTCGTCTCTTTTAGTGTACATTTTCTTCCCCGCCAAAAAACTAGAAAGGATTTTTTTTCCGTTGTGAGTAGCAAGAAACGATAATCTAGAAATTATTCTTACTTGCTTAGCACATATACCTCTTGACTTTGAAAATCCTCATAAATTATTCCTAATTTTAACCAATTTATTCCTCATAAAAATAGAAAGGAACCAATTTTCAAAGCAAAACCAGTCCAATAGGAAACTATTTTCAAGAAAGCTACTACTAATTCGTCCCAGTCTCGTGGCATTGTTCCTAGTTTCAAAATGCTAATAATGTTTTTTCTTTGCCTTTTGTATTATTTCTGGACACGAATAAACAAACATACCGTAGATAGTGATCACAAGGTAGCGAAATTTTGTTTTTGTTCAGAAAAAAGAAAGTTATGACGGTGTTATTTGCAATAATTTTGAAAATTTAGGGTAGTTTGTGGTATTATTCCCACATATTAGAAGGACATATATGCTAAACAATTAACACCTAGGGTGATAATTGAAAATTACGTGAGAGAGAGAGACAGAGATGACAATCACTAATACGCCACGCGTCACGAAATTACTGGCTCCACCATAAAATCACAAGCGACTATGACCTTTCACGCACTGGATAAGCCTCACTTCGTGGACCGCTCTTTTTCTTTCGTCTCCGAACAAAACTTTAAAATCAAAACCAAACTTCCACGCCAAGATTTTCTCTTCCTTTTTCCCACAATATGCTCAAAATTTTCCCGGAAAATCTCGGACTTTGAATCTTCCACTCTCTCTCTCTCTCCCCTTCAATGGCCTCTCTTACTTCTTCCCTGTCTTTCTCGGCGTTAAGTCAGTGCTCCGACAAAAAAGCCGTAGTCCCGTCGTCTCGGAGCTTAGCTTCAAATTCCGATTGGTTCCGAATCCGCGCGGGATTTTCGTGCCATTATGTCGGTTTTCGAGCTTCGAATTCCAGTTCTCGCATGGTCGTCCATTGCATGTCTTCTACAGCAGGTTCTTTTTTAGTCGTTTCGGTTCGACTGGTGATTTTTTTTTTTTGGGCTCAATTTCCTGGTTTTCTGAAAAACTGAACTGAAAAAAAAGAGGTTTTAATCTGCATTTTTGTTGCGTTCTTTTAGGAAAGAAAGTTAGTCAATTGAACTCAGTTAATAGATTTGATGTAGTTGTCAATTACTGGTGCAGAAAAATTGAACTTCCTGAAAATTGAGATTTTTTTCTCTAGTATAATCAGTCAGAAATTAACTAAATTAAGTTTTTATGATATTCGTGGTGAAAATTTATGGTTTTTGAGGACCTTTTCTATTTTTCTATTACTATTTATTTGATAGTTAGTTCACATTTCATTTAGGATTGCAACATTGCCTGAGAATTAGTAAAATACAATTCCTTAAGTGCAATTGAAGTTGCAGGTGAATCTTGTGCTTTCAAAAGTATTTTTCAAATTAATCAAAGTTTTCATGGTATAGCGTAGGAAAGTGTTTAATGGAAAGTCGAGGGAAATTGATTTTTTCATGGTCACTATATCTTTTATGAACTGTTGTTTAACAAAAAGTCAAGAGGAATTAATTATTGATAATACCTTTATCTTTTCATGAACTGATATCAGCTTTTTGAAACTATGTGTTTGTACTGATTTTCTCTAGATTTGTTTATGAGTCATCTTCATTTGAAACCATTGGAACCTTGAAACTGAACTAATTAACAATAGAAACGGCTTTGCTTGTTGTTTTTGAGACCCTGCTTTGAACTCTGTCTCCAATATGCTTCATTTCCTTTAGAGTATCAACTTTGCCGCTTCACATTTTTCATCTTTTGCTCACTAAGAAGAAATTGTGCAGAAGCGCCACCAACTGTAGCTGATACGAAGTTAAATTTTCTGAAGGCCTATAAACGACCAATCCCAAGTGTCTACAACACTGTGTTGCAAGAGCTGCTTGTCCAGCATCATTTGATGAAATACAAGAGAACATTTCGTTACGACCCTGTCTTTGCTCTTGGTTTTGTGACTGTATATGATCAACTTATGGACGGCTACCCTAGTGATGAAGACCGAGCTGCCATCTTCCAATCATATATCAAAGCGCTAAACGAGGAGCCAGAGCAATATAGGTTCGGCTATGATACTTCTATCTTAGGAGGAAAACCTAATCGAAATTAATTGAAGCAATTAGCTGCTGAGCAATGTGATATAGCAGTTCAAAGTTTCAAATGTGTCCTCCCCTAAGACTGTGATTGACAAGAAAGCCACATTTTGCACAATCTTAATCGTACAAACTGCTTGGCATTGTAATATCTATATAACAGACTAAAATTAGGTTAAGCTACTTAAAAGACGCATCATTTGGTGTTGTTGGTTCGATCCCTGAAGAAAACAGGGAGGCAAGTCTAACACAAGAACTTTTAAGAAATAGCTATCTGGTGAAAATGACTTGTCATTAATGCCTTCTCTTTCTCATCAAATTATATGTGGGAAGAAAACAATTCTTGATAGCGAAACTATCTGGATAAAAATGTAAACTTTCATTCTTTCCACATTTGTGCATTTGATCAACTTATAAGTATATATTTTTGGGAGGGATTTGGATCTTTTGATAAAAAATTCCTTGATACTCATTACAGAATTGATTCACAAAAGTTGGAAGAGTGGGCACGGGCTCAGAATGCCAGTTCATTAATTGAGTTTTCATCTAAAGAAGGAGAAGTTGAGGGGACATTGAAGGACATTTCAGAAAGAGCAAGCCATGGAAATTTCAGCTACAGTCGTTTCTTTGCTGTCGGACTCTTTCGTATTCTTGAGTTGGCAAATGCAACAGAGCCAACAATATTGGAAAAGGTTTGTCCCTTATTATTGTATTTCACAAGTAATGGTGTATCTTAAACCAAAGTGCATAAAAAATGAATTCATGCGAGTAAGCTACTGCATGATCTTTGCCGATTGTGGCATCATTAATCTGGGCCAATTGATGTGGCTTGAAATAGTGGAGAAGTTATAATCATCCACACTTTAGTAAGTCTTGTCCTCGTGATTTTAAAGATTTTGTCGTCTCTTTAAGAGCCTTCTGAAATAGGTATTTAAACTAGAGTCAGGAACGACATATTTTGAGTAACTCTTCTGCGTAGGGATATAGTTTTTGACTGATGTTTCAGCCTTGTCATTTTGGTTGCTGGACCACAGCTATGTTCAGCCCTAAACATTAATAAAAGAAGTGTGGATCGGGACCTTGATGTATATCGTAATCTGCTTTCCAAATTGGTTCAGGCAAAGGAGCTGCTGAAGGAGTACGTGGAGAGGTAGGAATATATCCCTCAGTATAAAATCAGTTATTCAGTTCATACTAATACATAATACATGAGCATTATAATCATCCAGCATTTGGAGTTAAATTTACTCAAACATTGAAGCTTCTCCCGTGCTGAACCTCTTTAAAGGATCGGAAAATGTATTTAACACACGTGTACACGCGCATAAAAAAGTATATTGGAAGGAAATATGCAAAAATTAGCCTGCATGAAGGAATGTTTTCCAGCGATTAAATGTGCAGAGAGGTTCAGATTAATCTTAGGCTTTCTCTCATAGAAGAGAATGAATAAAAAGGGAAAATGATTTCTTTCATCCTATAATCTAATGGAACTTGAAAGCAAAAAAACAAAACTAGAAAAGCTTTCACTTGTTTAGTGATTTCCCTTAATAACGCAGTTTTCCTTGCATGATCATGGCTTTCAGGGAAAAGAAAAAGAGGGAAGAAAGGACAGAATCGAAGGCCAATGAAGCCATAACAAAATGTTTGGGAGATTACGAGTATGCAGGCCAGTAGTTCAGTCTGTGCGGCTCCTCCAAAGTTGATCATTCTAGTAAAATGCAAATGCTCATAATTTTTCGATGATTTTGAGTTAGAGATCAGAGTTTTCACATATTAAGAACCCGTTGTCAGCTTGTATCTTTTCAGTTCTGATACATTGTGAAAACAAGGAACGAGCTAATTCAATATACTTCTTATCATGTTCACTTGTTTCTATCATGTTTTAAATCTGTTTCGATTCAATTGTATTATAAGTTGACAACTTTACGCTCCGTTTATTTCACCAATTCGAATTTTATTACAGTAAAAAACTCTCAGAAACAATCATATTTAATTTTTTTACTACAGTAAAAAATTCTCACATAAAATCACATCTTAACTCGAATTAAAAACTTTAATCAGCGAACTAAACGGATTCTCAGTTTGCCATTTGCATATGATATTGTACTCAATAGAAATCAGAGTTACGTTAGTGCACTGTAACTTTTATTATTATTATTATTATTTTCTTTTTATTCTTTCTTTCTTTCGCACGTGAAAATTCTCCTCACATGTATTCAATTTACTGCGTTCAATTATACAAAATTATAAGTTGATCCCGTTCACTTCGCTGATTTGAGTTTAGAATTCGAGTTTTTTTACAGTAAAAAGCTCTCACAAACAATCACATTTAACTTTTTTACTATAGTAAAAAACTCTCACATAAAATCACATCTCAACTCGAATTCTAAATTCGAATCAGCGAAGTGAACGATGCCTAATCACTCACCAAAGACAAACTCCAAAGGACATGTAAAAAGAAACTCGTGTCATTCAGTAGACAAAAGATTATTAGAGTGGTACTGTAGCGACCCTCCTTTGAGGCCGCCACTGTAACTAACTTTTTAACTTGTACTTACTGAAATTTCTTAAAATTTACGGAACATTTTTTTTTAAAAGGTCTTATTATAAACATAAAATACGAAATTGCTTTCTTAATTAAAATATTCAAACCTTAACATATCTGTTTCATAATCATAATTAACAAAACTATTTGTAACATAAAGCTGATTGCGGAAATATTTG